ATTAAACTGTATACTTAATGGAAAAATCATGGTTTTATACCAATGTCATCTAGTTCTCTGTGATACATGCCATACAATGCCATATTTCTGTAAACAGGGAATTCTTTTACCCAAAGGTTTTTCTTTACTGCCCTTAGAAATCCCAGATGGCTAAAGGCTACAATGACTAGGAGATACTAAATGTGAAGTACTCCATACTAATATGTGGCATGTTTTTTTTTGTTTGTTTGTTTGTTTGGTTTTTTTTTGTTTTCCTTTCTGAACATTTTTTTTCTATCAGAGAACTTGAGAATTTTCAGCCAAGGGTTCATCATATTTCTCTCAACAGAACAAGAGGAAGCTCCCAATAGTCCCTGTTATATCTACGGCTTTTCAATTTTTAAATGTTAACACAGAGGCTTCTGGGAACTGCCTCTTCAGTTTCCTGTTTGGAAATGCACATAATGAATGCTAGATTTTGTGTTGCTTAGGATGACAAAAATATAAATAAAACATATAAAGAGCTTTTAGGTAAAAGAACAGGGAAAAAAGACTGTTCTTGTACTATTGTTCTGTTGGCAGGAAAATATTGCACTTTGGGAACTGCAGATGAATAACTTATTCAGGAGCTCAATAAATAGAGAAGAGAAATTGAGCACATACTGGAACAGGGTCATTTATTTATTTATTTATTTATTTATTTGTTGTAAAATTATAACACTTAGTAGACAAACTTAGTATTAATTCCTCATAAACTGAGAATATGATGGGTGCAATCTGCTGCAACATTTTAGACTACTTATGCTCAGGAGAATTCCCAATGACCGTTAATATGAATGGAAAATATAGCATATTTTGCTAATGAAATTAGGTTAATCTGAGCTCTCTTCTACTTAATTTGCATGTCAATCCCCCTTTTAAAATTTTGAAATACACTTGTTAATTTTAGACTCATTTGAGAGGTGAGTAGAATTCTTTAATTATGTTCCTATAAGTTTACTGAAAGGCTGGCTGACTAAAGGAGAAAGACCCAAATTAGTACCTCTCTTGAGAGCAAGAGAGAGCGAAATCAGCCTTTAGACATTCTCTTTGGTAGCAGACAGCCATCTCGTATGCATTTAGTTCAAAACTAGTACATGTTTTCCTCTTCTTTTGTGTGTATTTCATAAGGGATCATCTGGTGAGGAGCAGTTAGCTTTACTGGGGTGATGTGAGTGACATTAAGAAAATATGACTGAAAATATATAAGAAATCAGGTTTCATTAGCTCCACTGCTGGGATAGCAATACGATATTTTGGGAGTCAGTAGGAATATTTCTTCCTCCAATTACATAAAAGAATATTTAAAACATTAAAACCATAGTTCAGCATTGTATACACGGCCATGAATGGTCTCCAAATTATGGGATTCAAGTGCTGCAGAAATCAAAGACAGCTCATCAGTGAATTTCATTTCTTGTGAAAATTATGTGTGCACAAAGAGAATTGCTTCTGTCAAAGAACATTTAGCTCTTGACTCTTTCAAAACATCACCCCTTCACTGTGAGAAGTAAGAATTTGTTCAGAATATTCTTCTAAGTTGCTTTGACTATTGCATCTATTCTAATCTATTACAGACAGAGTCACCTGCCCTTCAGATTGTAATGTGAACACAAACCAGTATAAACAGTCTAGCTGTATCTGCATGGTGATCTACAAAGGCTGCTTTAACAGATGGGGAGTAAATGAGCCTCACTAGATCTTTGTGCATCTTTCAGGGCCTGAATAGTTCATCTGCAGTACAGATACTCACTAAGTGACTTGGGAGCCCGTGCTGCATTTTTAAATTTGCTGCAGGCATTTCAGCAACTCAGTCTAATTGCAAGACAATGGAATTTGATATTGCAAGTGCTGAAGTACTTAAAAAAAGTGAACCTGATACATATTTCAATTTTACCCTTAAAAAAACTCTCCTCAGGTTTTAAAAATGTAAAAACTTTCTAAAATAACTGTGCGTTACTGTTAAGATCTTCCAAATAAAGCTTTATTTTTTTTTAATTTCTTATTTTTTTTAGCCTTTGGAACAAAATATGAACATGAATATCATGGCTGAAAAGCAAAAGAAACAAAACAGAACTGAAATTGAACTTGTTAGAATAAAGAGGACAGAGTGAATGTATACAAACACAGAGCATAAAGAATTGTCATGCAAAAAAAAAAAAAGGTGTATATATTAGTAAACTAAAGAAGATACAAAGGAATGATAACTTCTAACTTCTGTACAGGTCATGTGATTTTCAATATACAGAGTATCCAAGGAATATAACTTATGTAAGCTCTGTCTGTAAGATTAGAAAATGAATTTTCAAAGTGCTATTGACTTTTATATCTGTCAAATAGTTTATCAGTAGCAGTCTTAGAGCTATAGGCAGAAAATTCATAGAAAAATATCCCATTACAGAGAACTTTGGTGGTATTGCAAACATGAAGAGTGAATGGGAGAAAAAAAATATAGGAAAATTCTCTCTATTTCCAGCCACAATGAAGCATGAGTAAAAATTCTTAACACCATCAAAAAAAAAAAAAAAAGAAAAAAAAGTGTTACTCACAGTTATCAATAGCTATCAAGTACTATCAGCCTTGAAAGCTAAGAGAACTACTGCTGACAGCTACAGGTCAGACGGTGAATTGAAATGGATAATGTGGAGGAAGGAATAAAGATGTGGAAGGACACTTACTGCGTGAGTAAAGACTGAAAGTATTTTTAACTTGAATTAGGCTAAAGACAAGTAGGCCACTTAAATGTATGGATATAGAGCATGAAGAGAGGCAGAAAGGTGATTATTATCTGCAGGCCCTTTAAAGACTTAGAAAAATATCGCAAGGATGGTCCAGCGCTGAGCTGTTAGAGATGTCAGAGTTGTGAGATGACAGTGCATATTGGGCAGTGGAAAGAAGCTCACCTAGAGAGATGAATCAGGTGACTGAGTGACTTCTGAGGAAGAAATGTGGCAAAATTGAAGTGATTAAAAATTCTGAAGTTAGTATTTTACCAAAAATGATTCCTCAAACATGATTCACAGGGCAATGGGAGGTCACCAAATTGACGAGTAAGTACTAAGAAATATTCCTGGGCACTTCAATAACTCACTTTAAATTAAGATGCCACTTTTTGAGTAAGAGACTAAATTTACCAAGGTTATACCATCAGTCTTCCACACAAATAACTAAGGGGAATAAAGAGTCTCAGCCTTGCAACCTATTGACTTTAATGGATTATTTTCATAATTTACATTTAAGTAGAACTAAGAGTGCTAAGAACATGGATGGACATGGACCCTGGCCCCAGACTTTATTGTTCAAATCCATGTTACTTTTTCAAAGGCTACATGTTCATTATTTTTTCTATAAAAACAAACAACAATGACAAAAAATAATAATAATAATAAAAAAAACAACACAAAAACACAAACATACTGCAAACAGTTTTAACATAATTACTCTTCTTTTTGATGTAAGACTTTTTTATATAATCACAGTACCATATATTTATGAAAATATAACATTCAACCATCTTGCTTTTTAATTCAACATTAACATTAACATTAACATTACATGGGAAGTTAGTTGTTCTGTAACATTTTTAGATTGAAAATTGCAGATAGCATACAACTACATTCTTATGCTGGCGACAAAATCAAAGTGACTGATGCTGAACACTAATGAAAATCCATAATAATCCCATTTTGTTTTTGTTGTTGTTTGGTTGGTTTGTTTTTTAAGTGAAAACAAAAAACAAACAACCAAACAACAACAACAACAAAACACAAAGATATACCATGCATAAGGTGCAATGAATCTCTTACTGGAAACAAGGAGGCAGATTTACAAATACTCAGTAGAGGTCCTAGAAATCTCTTTAGTGTGTCTTTCTTCAAAGGAGCAGTATTTCAGAATTCTACAAAGGAATCAGCAAATTCAAAGAAGTTCTGGGAATAAAATCTACAAAGAATACCCACGTCTGGATTCTTGTCTCTCTCTCTCTCTTTTTTTTTTTTTTTTTTTTTTTTTCTAGTACATGCTTCTAAGATACTGCTAAATGATGTAACTTATCGTACTGTTTTAAGTTCTTATTCTTGCTATTCTACTTTGTGAATGAGAAAGACTTTTCTCTTCTTTGATGTTGGAACCACTACTTAGAGAAAGTATTTTATACACACACATCATCAAACTTTAGAGATGAAGAGTGATAACCCCCTCTATAGCAAGGAAGGCAGAAATTAAATAGACTAAACTAAACTTATTGGAATAGTCAGAGAAACAAAAGGTGAAGAGGCAAAGGCAAAAAAAGGTGTATGGTTTTGACTGGGACAGAAATAATTTTCTTCATAGATGCTCACACAATGCTGTGGTTTGGATTTTTGATGAAAATAATGGTGATAACACACCAACGATTTAGTTGTTGCAGAGCAGTGCTTGCACAGAGCCAAGGACTTCTCTGCTTCTGGTGCTGCCCCACTAGCAATGGGCCTGGGGTCCCCACAAGCTGGTCACCAGGACTGCTGGCCCAGACTGAATAGAAACTCTATCTTCCCAATAAACGATTATGCGTGGTGAGCCCTGCTTTCCTGGGAGTGGCTGAACACCTGCCTGCAGATGGGAAGCAGCAAATGAATTCCTGGTTTTGTTTCACTTGTTTGCATGGCTTTTGCTTTACCCAGAAAATTGTCTTTCTCTCAACCCACGAGTTTTTGCACTTTTACCTCTCTGATTCTGTCCCCCATCCCACCTGGTGAGAGTGAGGGAGTGGTTGTGTGGTATTGAGCTACCTGTGGAATTTACACAAGGGAAGGGAAGGGAAGGGAAGGGAAGGGAAGGGAAGGGAAGGGAAGGGAAGGGAAGGGAAGGGAAGGGAAGGGAAGGGAAGGGAAGGGAAGGGAAGGGAAGGGAAGGGAAGGGAAGGGAAGGGAAGGGAAGGGAAGGGAGGAAGGGAAGGGAAGTCTGAATCAGTTTGTGCAGACTTCTGATATGTTTATCTACAGGTTTCAACCAGCTGAATATTCAGGAAGAAAAGATTTCACAGCTTAAAGCAGCTCAATAGATTGGGCCACCAGTGCAATTTATGACACTTGTTCTAGGTCTTTTGTTTAAAGAGAAAGACTACTGCTACAAACCTAAGGAGATGACAGAAATTGTAAGAACTCCTGAAATCATGTACTTGTTCTTCAAAGTGTTTTTTGTTTGTTTGTTTGTTTATTTGTTTTTGTATATATGTATTTGCCATGTTATTGCATTTTTTGTTAAGTTTTTAGAATGGACCCTGGAACATCTTTGGCCGTGGACTCAAAAAGATAATTTCCCTAATCAATACCCAGTTACAGCATGGGAGGTTTCAGGGGCTGAGGACTTGAAAATCTTGGTTGTGTCCACAGTTCTAGAAGGTTAACAATTTAAAAGTAAAAATGTAGCTAGGCTATAGCAGTTCAACTGGAGCAGAAAATGGGTGTAAACAATGCAAGGATAGGTGCAATCATGACTAAAACAACATTTTTTTTTTCTATATGCTAACTTTGTGATATCTGGAAATAAAATCTTGATGTTGTAATTAAAAGACATTCTTCATTACTAATAGTTTAGGAACATGACATCATTTTATCAGTCATACAAAGTCTTTTCTATGTCTGCAGATTGATCACACAAAGTCTTTTAACTAGAGTTCTAGGCACCAAGAATTATTATGTACACAAAGACATTTGAAACTTTCTACTGCCAACTAAAATGCATCAGATCTGCAGAACACAAGCTTGATGCAATATATCATTCTTATGAGTATTGTGGAACATTTCTCATTTGGAAAGAAGTAGGCAAGGGGTTTTGTAAAAAATATACCCAGAGTTTGTGGAACTGGCAGTGCACATTTTAGATTGCTTTTAAGTTCATCATATATTTCTAGCTGACGCTATATGTAACATCATAGAGTAGACAGAAAATCAGCACAGTTAGTTATGCTCTGTAATGTGAATAATCGTCACATAAGCTTCAAAAGGTACACGTCACAAAGCCTATAGTTCTATAGAAATATCCTCAGCAAAGCAAAGGTGTTGCATAATACACATACATGGAAGTGGATGTTATGCTTGTATTTTGATATTGATTCTTAAAAGGTAGTTGAATAGACATTTGGATGAACTAAGGAGACTACCACCATTCTGTGAAATTGGATGGTTTCCAAATGTCTCATCAGCAACTTGACGTATAACAAAACTCATACAACATTAGGGGGTATCCACATGAGTATTTCAATCCTATAGCAGGAACCTGGGATTACCAGACATTTAGCTTACAGATGGCTAAAATTAGGTAAGATAAATCTTTTGACATATCTCTACTGGCTTGAATAAATGTTGACTGAAATAAAACCATGAAGAGTTGGATACATTCTTAATATTTCTCTTACAAAGAAACAAGAATAACATGAAAACAAAGATTTATAGTTTTTTTTCTCTTACATTTTAAGTGTGTGCAATTAGCAAAAAATTGTACAAGGTTTTGTAGCTCTTTAACTGAAGGTTCTCTAGGAATTTATGTCTAATATATATATATTGGTAATATATATATATATATATATATATATATATATATATATATATATATATATAATATATATATATATTAAAAAAAATAATACACTGGATACTTCCAGTAACTTTAATGATTAATGAGTCATGGGTTTACAATTTTTCACAAAAAATAAAAGATCACTAGTTTTACAAATAAACCTTTTCTAATACTCATGTGATTTAGCCAACAAATACTTTCAGTTTTCATACGTCTGTGTTTCTGTACCAGATTTAAAAAAAATAGAGCTGTGGGAATTTCAAGTTGATCTATATGTATAAAACAATTAGCCTTGTAAGACATATTTCATTAAGAAAAGGAAAAAAATGCTTGAAGCAAAAATGTGAATATTATACAAAGAAAATAATCCTACCATGGAAACCATGGAAAAAAGAAGGTGAAGCTTAGAAAATGCAGGAGACCACAACTGTCCGTTTTAGGACTAAAACAGTTCCTTTCTTTGATCACTGGAGAGCACTGTTCCCCTATGAAACAATTTGTTTCAAGAGCATAGCTTGGCATTCTGCTGCAGAAGTGATTTGATGTAGAAAATTATATAACATATATTATGAATTCAGTTATGGAAGGAGAAATGTTAAACTCCTGAAAAAAAATAAAAGAAAAAATTAATGTTTTATAGGATTCCATTCTCCTATCCCTCAATTTATACTAATAATATCATATTATTTATTACTTTTACTGTAAGAATGTCTACAACTTCCTCTGGTCCAGAGACCTATTACACTGGTGACAGGACGTGTATATTCAAAAGATTCACTCTATTTTTTTTTAACGTCTGTTTATCATAAAAGTATCACAAATTGTGTGAAATCCAGTTGATGCACATAAGTAGTTGCCTTTGAACAGGTGAGAATAAAATTAACTGTATCATTTTTTTGCCTGAACTGGAAGGACAAAAATATACCTTTCCAAACCTTGAATCATTTCACTTAAATATAAAATTATTTTTCCATAAAAGGACACAAAAATAGTTACCATGCAGCAGTACAGAACTAGAACTATCTTGTGGTCAAGACAGAGATTTATTCAGTAATTCTGAGACTTCTGTCTGATTTAAGTATCTGGGTGTAAACAAGACCTTGGAAATCATTGGATGATGCTTTACATCTCAGGTTTCAAACTCTAATCAGGGGTTAATGCTTAATACTCTTAGGCACCCTTTGGTGCTCCTGCTTTTGAGGTTCAGTGCTTTGTGCCAGTACAGTTTCTTACTCTGATTTCAGATTTGAATGAGCAGGGTGGGACCTTGGGTCAGATTTATTTGCCCTGCATGTATTAAAACAAAGATGGTAGCATTTTGTTTCTATGTTAAATCATGGGACATTTAATCGGAATGCAAAGCAAAAAATCATATTTATCATATCAAAGCTGAAATATGGAGAGAAAATAATACCTTGCTATCAGCTTTACCCTTTCATGGGTGTAATAAATGCTTTGTTTAGTTGTTAGCTATTATTACTAAGCAATCATGTATAATAAAAGTGAACTGCTCATCCTACACATTATTCTGTTACATATAACGCATATTAGTTATGAACACAGAGGGAGGGCTTTCAGGGGTCCAATCCAAGGAGAGCAGTGAGGTCTGCTGGATATCATAATCCGCAATGAGAGTGGGAGGATCAGAGCCCGTAGGTCACCTACCAAATCTCATCTGCAGCTCTATGACCATGTCAAACATCTTGTTCACTGTTGATGTATAATTCATTGTACTGTTTTAATTGAATTGCACACTGAAAAGACCTGATTTGTCAAGATAGCCTTCCCATTTCACAGCAGTAAAGCTCCATTGATTTCCAGTCAGAGAATAGGATGTCATGAACGGTCAGAACAAAACGTTTTATATTCAAATCAACTGAGCATAGCACTGACCTCTCTCAGCTTTCTGTCCTGAATAAGGACCTCTGCTAATAAGCAGCAGACACACACATGTGAGAAGACCAACCTGCAGAGGATCACTGATCACATTAATTCAAAATCGATTATGGAGCCATAAACTAAAGGAGATTATGACTGGCAACATACAGGATATAAAGCTGATAGGAAGTGTTCTTCAAAGTGTGGAAGAAGGAATTAGTGCTACATTTATTAGCACTATCTTTATTTGATTGCTCTGGGCTTTGGCTCAGTGAGTTCCTCGAGCAATACAGAGAGTTATAGCTTTTCAATAATTAGCTGAGAACATCTCATAATTACATACCTAATCAGTAAAGAGAATATAGCTGTATAGTCAGAACCTACTTTAGCTTATTAACAATAGGGTATGCCACTGTTGAGGTTTTACCCAGCTCGGCAGCTGAGCTCCACCACAATTGCTCTCTCACTCACCTCCTCAAAGGGAAAGGGTGAGAAAATATGATGGAAAGGACTCAGGGGAAGAGATAAGGACAGGGACATCACTCAACAATTATCGTCACAGACAAAACAAACTTGGCATAGAGAGATTAATATAATTTATTACATATTATTAATGGACTAGAACAGCGAGAAATTAAAACCAAACTAAAAACACCTTCCCCCCATCCACTCTTTTCTACCTCTTCCCCTCAAGTGGCACAGGGTAACAGGGAAAGGAGGCTGTGGTCAGTCTGTGGTGCTTCGTCTCCACCGCTCCTTCACGGTCCCTCTCTGTCCCTGCTCCCCGTGGGGTCCCTCCCACGGGATGCCGTCCTTCCCAAACTGAGCCTACTGGGGCTGCCCAGAGGCAGCAGCTCTTCAGGAACTGCTCAAGTATGGTTCCATACCATGGGGTCCATCCATCAGAAGCAAACCGATCCAGAATGGGTCCTGCATGGGCGGCAGCTCCCCCCAGGTCCCCTGCTACTGCATGGGCTCCTCTCCACGGGCTGCAGCTCCAGCCCGGGGCCTGCTCCTGTGGGGTCTCTCCATGGGCGGCAGCCTCCTCCAGGCCACATCCACTTGCTCCACCGGGGGCTCCTCCACGGGCTGCAGCGTGGAGATCTGCTCCATGTGGGACCCATGGGCTGCAGGGGGACAGCCTGCTCCGCCAGGGGCCTCTCCACAGGCCACAGGGGAACTGCTGCTGCGTGCCTGGAGCACCTCCTTCCCTCCTTCTGCATGGGCCTTGGGGGCTGCAGTGATGTTTCTCACTCTTTTCTCTCCCAGCTGCTGTTGCACAGAAGTTTTTTCCCTTTCTGAAATCTTCTCTCACAAAGCCACAAGCAGCATCACTCACTGGGTCAGCTCTGGCCAGGAGCAGATCCCTTTTGGAGCAGGCTGGAGCTGGCTCTTCTCTGACATGATGCAGCTGCTGGGCTCTGCTCACAGAGGCCACCCCTGCAGCCCCCTGCTACCAAAACCTTGCCATGTAAACCCAGTACAGCCACAATTTCCTCTTATGAGAATTTGCAATGAGATAGAGAGTAGTTACCTGAGCTGTGAGGTGAATTACTTATGCAGTGACATAGATGGGGAAATAGAGGAAACATGCAAGAACTTGTGATATTAAAGTGAGATACAGTGAGCCTAAAAACCGTCCCTGGACAGAGCTCCAGTGTGACTGGCACCAAAACTGTACCACAAGTCATAAAGAAATGCTTTAGAAGCTTTGGAGCAGTCCAGGTTTACATGGAAAAATAATGAAAGTTCACTTCAATATCTGAATATTCAGTGGAGCACACTCCAAGCTTTATGGGATTAGTAATGTCAAACACATATTGGCTTCTACCTTTAGGACTCTTGATGTCCAGGAGGATACCCAGAAAGTTGCAGTCTGTCACTGAAAGCCTGGGATGGTGTCTGGTTCACGTTGACAAGTCATTCTCCTGAAATCAGATGATCTGGTTTTTGCTGGTCTGTCATTTGGCTTACTAGTACCATATGTCATCAGAGAACATTGATGATTTCATGGAAGACATAGAAAGTGAACGATGTCATCTGCTGACTGAAATATAAACCTAGTGTATGTGTGGTCAGAAACGTGATTTTCATGGTTTATGATGCTAGTCATCT